TCTAATTTACTAGAAGTATTTAAATATTGATAACTAGAAACCGTAGCGTTGGAAACTGACGAAAATAGAAGAAAATATAAAATTGCAGAAGCTACAAAATAAACGACTATTAGGGGGAGAAATGAGTCCTGCTGAGCCAAACATTATTAATTGGTATACTCACTACAAATATTTTTAATTTTGCATTGAAAATAATAGATAATAAGGCGGTCTTCTGCTATATCATTAGTTTGGGTCATGTGAAGTGCTGAAGCTGCAAATTTAAAGCCTAACTAAAGTCGTTATACTCTCCAAGAGCTGAAAAAACGTTTTAATAATGAATGAATCATGTTTTTTCGGCTGTAACTTCCCGCTTTAAAACAATTAAATGAATATTGATTAGGACTGAATCACGTACACTGTTAGTTTAAAAATAGAGACAGCTCACCAGAAGATTCAGATCTATATCGCTGCCGCTAATTTCTGAGCTGCTCAATCCTTTCTAGTCGTACTTTGGTTTCCCATTTTGCTTAAAGATGAACTTCCAAGAACAATGTACACTTGCGGCCTTGCTGTTGGTTTTACCTGGCTTTTGTGTCTTGGAGGATATAAGACGTAAGTAATATTAGTATTTTTTCCTTATAAGTTTCATCTGCGCGTCTTATTAAGAAATTTTTGGCTGCATATTAGTAGTGCCTAACCTACGACTACTATCCATTCCATATCCTGACGTTTAGTATGTTTTTAAAATCTATGTATTATATTTTATTATTTCATCGTATATATTGGAATCTGCTTATTTTGATAAATTCTACAACAGGACCAATAGTAAGAGAAGTTAAAAGAGTAGAGGAGTTAAAAGGAGACTCTGCTCGCAGGGTAGTTCAACCTCGACTTGAAACCATTGTTTCGTGACCAGTCAAGCGAATTCGGGATAGGTCTATTGCATCCGCTCTTGTATTACCCTTAAATGTAATAACACCCATAAATGTAATACCCACCATTAAATGTAATAAAAATCAACCATAAATGTAATAACAACCATAAATGTAATAACAGTCAACCATAAATGTAATAGTAATGATAAAAAGGTAAACAACGTGAAAAGATGAAAAAACTTACTGACGTTTTCGGACGCTAGTCAGTAAGTTTTTTCATCTTTTCACGGTGTATAATTCACCTTTTTATCATTAATGTTTCATCAGAAACACCGACGCAGCTCACACTAGTTTTTAGCTTGTTATCTCTTCATAAATGTAATAATCGACCCCACCATAAATGTAATAACCCCTCCAACCATAAATGTAATAACCAAGTATTCCGGAGAGTCAAACAAAGTGTTCAATCAAAAAAAACCTCTAAGCACAGGGAGCCCGGCTTGGTGATGCTAAATCGGTAAAACGATCACGTTTCATATGTTGATGACATTACATAATGCTCGTAACTCAATACACGGTCACTACGTAATAGAACACCAGTATTTGTAACGCGTAACTTATACAGTGATAAATTCAAATTCAAATACGTAACGCACGCTTTACAAGTAGTGACCGTTTGTATAGGGGTGTATTGAGTTACGATTATTATGTAATGTCATCAACATATGAAAC